AAGAAGGAGAGGCGGGACGGCGTGGAGGGCTTCGGTGCCGGGGGGGCGTCTGCGCCGGGGCTGCCGTGGGCTGTGGGGGAACGGGGGTCAGCACCAAGCTGGGGGAGGGGGTTCGAGGGGCTGTGGGCATGACACGGGGGTCAGCACCAAGCGGGGAGTGGGGTTTGAGGGGCCACAGGAACAGTGGGAAGGGGTTTAATGCCGGGACAGGGAGGGGATCTGAGGGGCCACGGGGATGGGCTCAGCTCTGAGTTAGGATGGGGATGGGGTCCCAGGGGCTGTAGGGATGCCATAGGAGCACTCAGCACTAGGACAGAAAGGGGGTCCAGGGGCCATGGGGACAGCAAGAGAGCCCAGTGCCAGGACGGAATGGGAACAGGGTCTGAGGGGCCACAGGGATGGCACAGGGGACTCAGTCCTGGGACGAGACAGGGCCTGAGGGGCCATGTAAAGCCTGGGAGGGGGTTCAGCACCAAGCCAGGATGCGGAGGGGGTGCGAGGGGCTGCAGTGCCATACCTCTGGCCCGGGACGGGGGCTCCTCCTCCCGGTCGGGGGGTGGGGGGGGGGCTCTCGGGGCGGCAGCAGCGTGGGATGAGCGACAGGAACTTGGCCGCCGTCTTCCCGTAGATGTCCAGGTCCCGCACTGCCCGCTTCTGGCTCAGCATCACGTGGCTGCAGGGCAGCAGGTACCTGGGGCAGGGGGGCACGGAGGGGCTGCAGGGGTGGACACCAAGACGGGGACACCCCACTGGACCCCAGCCCCTTCACAGCCAGGCAACAATGTGGCTGCCCCACACCCACATGTGCAGCTGGGAGCAAAGCCCCGGGTCCCATCCCAGAGAATCCCCTGGAATGGGGTGGCAGCAGGTGACCCCCCTGAGCCCCTCCAGTCCCCATTACCTGAGCACCAGCTGCAGCATCACGTCCTCACAGTTGAGGCTGAGCAGGGTCCGGAACAGGCTCAGGGACACCATGCACAGCTGGGGACAGCACAGGCATCAGGGGGGCAGTGGGGTAGGTGGGCTGGGGATGGGAACGGGATGAGGATGCTGGGGATAGGGATGTCGGGGATAGAATGGAAATAGGACGAGGACAGGGATGATGGGGGGCCGTGGGGGCCGCAGGGGCTCACCTGGGAGTTGCTGATGCAGCCCACCAGTGTGTCCCAGTTGGGGTGAGTATGTTGGGGATGGGAACGAGATGTGGGGAGGCCATTGGGGGCTCACGCAGGAGTTGCTGTTGATGCGGCCCACCAGCGTGTCCAGGATGGGATGGGGATGGGATGGGGGTGTTGGGGGGCCACAGGGCTCACCCGGGAGTTGCTGTTGATGCGGCCCACCAGCGTGTCCAGGATGGTGGCGTTGTCGTGCCGGTGCAGCAGCACGAAGCGCAGGAAGGTTTTCAGCAGCGCCGTCTCGCTGACGCTGCGCAGGAACAGGTCCAGGTATGCCGTGCTGGCGATCATCTCCTCCACAGAGGTCTGTGGGACGGGCACCACAGGATGGGCACTGTGTGGCCCTGCCCACCCACACAGGCAGGGGTATGGGCAGCAGACCCACACTCTGTGCCTGCTCCTGGGGGTCCCTCACCTTGTGCAGCGCCGGCCCCATCACAGGCACGAGGAACCCGTTGTGGACGTAATCCACCAGCTGCTTCTGCACCAGCGGGTGGGCAACCTGTGGGGCCACAGGGAGGGTCAGGCAGCCCCCTACAGTGCTGGGAGCCCCTCACAGCCCCTCAGAGCCCCCCGGCCCCACCTGGATGACAGCGTTGCAGAACTCGAGCGAGTTCATGAAGAGGACGAGGGAGGAGACGCCGATCCAGTCCTCGCGGCGCAGGAAGTGCCAGTCGTCCCCCCGCACCTCAATCTTGCGGGGCAGGGAGGAGTACAGGGCGCTCAGGCCCGTGGCCAGCACCTGGGGACACACCTGGGTACTCAGCTGCTCCACGGCCCCTCGCACCTCTGGCTGCTGGACCTGACCAGCCTCCTCTGAACCCCAATCCCACAAGAACCTGACCCCCTCCAGCCTGGCTTCAGGCAGGGCGGCTGGGCTGGGCCCAGTGTCCCACTCTGGCCCGAGGGACCGGCCCCCTTGTCCTCAGCCCAACACTGAGCCCTCCATCATCTCCAAGCCCCTCCATCATTCCCAAGCACTCCATCCCCAGGCCCCCTGTCACCTCCAAGCCCATCACTTGCAGACCCTCCATCATCCCCAGGTCCCTTGCCATCTCCGAACACCCCATCATTCCCAGGCCCCCCATCACCATGCTATCTCCAGGTCCCCATCACCCCCAAGCCCTCTATCTCAAAGCCTTCCATCACTCCCAAACTCTCCATCACCTCCAAGCCCCACAAGATCTCCAGACCCCCATCATCTGCAGACCCCTCCCATCCCCAAGCCCCCATCCAGGGCAGTGCTCCTCCCTCTAGGCCTGTCCATGGCTCCAGCCCCAGTGGCCCAATCCAACCATGTCCCAGCCCTGCCCCAGGCAGGGGAGGCCCCGCTGGCCAGTCCGTACTGGGCAGAAGTAGGAGTTGTCAGTGATGGACTGTGCCACGGTGCGGTTGCTGGCCGACATGGCCATGATGAGCAGCAGCGCGTCGCGCGCCTGCTGGCCCCGCGCGCCCTCGTGGTGGATGAAGGGGATGAGGAGCGAGAAGATAATGAGGTTGGCGGGGCCCTGGTCCGTGTGGCTGTGGAAGAAGAGCTCCAGGATGGCCGGCTCGCGGGCCACAGAGACGCAGAGCTGGTTGAGCAGCAGCACCAGGCTGTTCTCGAGCGGGGCCGAGGCGGGCTCGGCGCACACGCTGAGCAGGCGCAGCAGCGGCGTCAGCACCGCCTTGTGCCGCAGCAGCGGCTGCCGGGCCTGGCTGATCAGCATCTCGTACAGCTTCAGCTGCTCCACCTGGGAACGGGGACACGGACGGGGTGGGAGAGGCACCGAGACTCCCGGGTCCATCTGCTCCCCTGGCGCTGCCCAGCCCACCACTGAGCCCCATCCCCAAGTGTCACAGCCAGACAGCTGTGAAATCCCCCAGCCCTGCCCTAGGCCACCCGGGACAGGGCTGAACAGCCCTTTCCAGGAGGAATTTTCCCCGATATCACAGAATGATAGGACGCTGTGGATTGGAAGTGACCTTAAAACCCATCTAGTCCCAATCTAAATCCAACCTGAACCTCCCCGGGTGCAGCACCCGGCCCTTGGCCTGGCTGACCCTCACCCCATCACTCTCATCCCTTGAATCCAGCCTGTCCTGGCCCCCCGCAGGGCCCCCACTCCCACAGACCCCCCCCTCTGCCCCCTCCACTTCCCATCATGGACCTTCCTCTCCTCGGTGAAGTCTCCCTGCAGGTGCCAGCACAGGAGCTGCTCCAACAGGTTCTCAGCAGCCACGAACTCCAGGATGGGCCCACAGGTCATGTCCCCATCCCCCTGGGACCTGTCCCCGTCCCCCCGGGGCCGGTCCTCGGCCAGTAGGTTCAGCATCTGGTAGGTGTTGTTGCGGACGGCGCTGAGGTCGTCGGGGGCCGGTTTGCTCCCGCGCCGCTCCAGGATCCGCAGCACCTGCGGGAGGGGGGCACACGGGGTGGGTGCCGGGGGCTGGGAGATGGGGGGTCCCTGCCGCCCCTGCGCCCCACTCACCTGTGCCCAGTGGTTCTTGAAGACCATGAGGCAGGTCTCGGGGTCGGCAGTGACGGGGGGCTGCAGGCTGGCACTGCGGGGGGCTCGCTGCCCACCCGCCCGCGGTGTCAGCTTGCTCAGCCAGCTCATCCTCTCCATCGGCACGCGGGGCACGGCGGTCACGGGCAGCGCCAGGGGGCCCCGACCGCTCCGGCTGAGGCCTGGCACCGCCGCGGGGGCACGGGCGAGCGGGCAGGACACCGGGGTCCTCTCTCCATGCTGCTGCCAGTGGCTGCAGGGAGAGGGGAGGTCAGGGGCCCCCAGCCTGGCTCTGCACCCAGCAACAGGGAGGGAGGGAGAAGGGAAGGAAGGCAGGCAAGCCGGAGTGCCGGGAGCTGGGCCAGGGCAGGGAGGGCAAGTGCGCTGGAGCAGCGGTGGCCGGAAAACTCTGGATCCCAGCTCTGGTCACACCCAGCGCCGGACTTTGAACTGGGAACCGGCCCAGCGTGGGTGTGGGGAGCACCCAGCACCCACCAGGACAGCTGGGACAGAGGGACAGCTCCCACCCCCGGGCAGCATCACCCACAGCCGGTGCAGCCTGATGGTGCTGCCAGGGATATTTATAGGGCCCTGTGCCCCAGAACCGCCACCACAGGCACCGGCACAGGACCAGGCACCGAGTGGCCCCCGGGGAGCCTGGGAACATTGACACACCAGGAGTCCCCCAGCAGCACGTGGGGAGAGGAGCGGCACCAAGAGCCACTGCCGCAGCCCCCATGTGGGGCTGAGGGAAGTGAAAGCACCATTAAAGACACCCCAAACCGCAGGAGCAGGAAAGGGAAGTGGCCAGAGCCAGGGCAGTGGGACACAGCACTGGCAGAGCCAGCTATTTATACCGGCACAGCCGGTGTCCCATGTCCCACCCACGCACCAGGGCTCATGTGGCTGCTAAAGTTAGACCTGCCGAATGCCGGGGCAGTGCCAGCCCAGGGCCCCGCACCACAGGCCCGCACAGACACAGCACAGCCACAGAGCCAAAGGCCACAACGTGGCACACCAGGGACATCCTGGCACAGGGACCTGTCTTGCACACAGCCAGAGCCACTCCAGTGGGACAGGGACACTGGCTGCTGCCACCAGCCCCATCCTGGCACCAACGCCCCACCACCCTGACCCAGCAGCTCCCACTGCCTGTGAGGGGACACGGCCAGAACATGGACCGGGGCCGTGTCACCACACTGGTGACACCCTAGTGTCACCGGGCGGGGCTGCAGCGAGGGTCTGGCAGCGGGGGAGCAGCCAGTGACCAGGGCACGGGGAGGTGTCTGGGTGTCATCAGGGCAGGGGCACCTGGGGTAGGGACAGCAGGGCCACCATGGGTAGGGGGCTGCAGCCAGTGCCGGGGGGTGTAGTTGTGGGCACCGGCCCCTCCTATGCACCCGGGGAGGGGGATATGGTGCGGGGTCACCCGGGGGGTCACCGCGGGATGCCAGTGGTCCCGGTGACGGTGAAGGCTTACCCGCGGCTATGGGCTGTCCCACCCCGGGGCCACGGTGATACCGGGACCTGGAGTCTCCCAGACCCTGGGGTCACGCAAGACCGGGACCTCCCCATGCCCCGGGGCCGGGCCGCCTACCTGGGTCAAGGTCGCGGCGGTCCGGTCCCGTCAGCGCCTCACCTGGGGAGGGCAGAGCAGGCGTCGGACGCGGGGCTGGGACCCCCCGGGACCCCGCGCCGCTCCGGGCCTCCCCGGCACCGGGCCCCTGCCCCGCGGCACCGCGACCCGCCCAGGCCCGGCCCCGCCGCGGCTCCCGCGTCCCGGACACGGCCCGGCCCGGTCCGGGAGGTCCCGCACGGCCAAGGGCGGGCGGCGGCCCG